GGGCGCTCCCCCCCCGCCCCGCCCCGGGCGCGGACCCCTCTCCTCCCGCGGAGTCCCAGCGCCCCCTGCTCCGGGAGCGTGGTCCCCTCCTGTGCCAGCCCCGAGCCCTCGGGCCGTTCCCCGCACCCCTTTTCTGCGGGAGGACGCTCCAACCCCGGGGCCTCTTCCTTTGGTTTCCTCCGTCCGGGGGCCACGGCCACCCCCGGGGACCCCCGTCCTCCCAGCACCCGTGTCCCCTGTGAGCGCTTCCTGCCCCGGGGGCCCTGTTCCCCCTGTGGGTGCCCCCAATCCTGGGGATGCCCAACTTCCCAGCACCCCTTTACCCCAGAGCACCCCTTCTTCTGGGATCCCTGTCCCCCTCGAGGTCCCCCATTGCCCAGCACCTCTATCCTGGGGACCCCAATCCAGGGATGCAGCCAGCCCTGCCCCTCTCCTCCTCCTGCCCCCAGACCCCTGGCATGTGGGTGGCCCCTCTTGGAGGGTGCAGACCCCTGCGGGGTGATGCCCACCCGTCCCAGCTGCCGTTGTGGGGTGCTGCGCTGCCCATGGGGGCCGTGCCCTGCCTGCCTGCTCTGCTCCCCCCTTCTCCTCTGCCCCCGTGCCCACTGCAAGTGCCAGGCAGAGGTGCCAGCCAGACCCTGCCAAGCCTCCAGCTTTCTGCTCCCTGCGGACTTTGTTGGCTCGTAGGTGCTGCCTGGCTTGGCAGGCGCGGGGGCTCGGAGCACGAGGCTGATGCACTGGCGGGCAGCATCCCGGCGGCCTCCCTGCGCCCTGTTGGCATGCCCAGTCCTGCTCGTGCCAAGCCCCGATGGGGTCACCCGCAGAGAGCCCGGACCTGCTGGCTCCGACAGCGGCAATAACGTGGTCATCGCTGCCCGGGCTGGGATTTACTGTCAAGGAAACCGGGGCGAGCTGTCGAGCTGCGATTTCGATATTGTTGTTGCAAATTGATTCAAGATGGGCTGGAGTTGTGGGCTGGTGGCCCGGGGACTTTTCTGATTGCTGTGCTTAGGTAGGAAAAGCAGGCGGGGGAAGAGGTGACCGGTGTGGGGACCTGGTGCTGCCTGCTCTCGCATGTCCCCGTCTGCCATCGGGCTTTGCTGGCAGGTTACGGGATTGGAGTTTAAAGGCCCATGACATTACTGGCAGGTTTCGCTTTGACTTGTTTGGGACCAGATCAACGCCTCCGATTTCTTTTTAACTTGCTTTTGGTGCAGAAGAGCCTTGTCCCTGTGCATTTCCCCCACCCCCAATACTGCTTTTATTTTCTCCTTTGCTTTTACGTATTTATTGCCTCTAAAAAAATCTGTTTTGGTTTCACTGGAGCCCACAGGGCAACGGGTCTGCCAGCACCATGTATCGCACCGGAGAGATTTGGGTGCGAGTGCCGGTGGCTTTTGAGGGGTTTTCTGTCCTCCTCGCCCAGAGCAAACCATCCCACCCATGGGACTGACCCTGGCACCGCAAAGACGTCGGGACAAATCCCAGCGGGTGTGATGAAGTGAAAGTGCAAGAGCTCGGCGCTGGTGGGGTTTGCGGTACCGCCAGCGCTGCCACAGCTCGGCAAGGACAAAGAGCCCGATCCAGCCCTGAGGGGGGCTGCGGTGGTGGGGAGGGAGAGCCAGGCTGGCGGGGAGCTGAGCTGCCAGCTGCTCCCCCCGGTCCCCATGGGCGAAGCCGGGGACCCCCAGCCAGCCGCTCCCCTGGGAGCGCTCCCTGCACCCGGCTTCTCCCACGCCTACACCGCAGCAATTCATTTCATGCAACAAAACAAACCCTGTCGAAAGAGGCCACCCCGCTGCTGGGCTTTTCCCCGCAGGCAGTGGGTGTAAGAGAGTGTGATGATGTAAACTGGGCTGCAGGGTGCCAGACGCCACAGTGATGGGTGCTCGGGTGAGCGGGAGCGGGCGGAGAGTCTTTGGGGAGCTGGGCTGGCCAGGGTGGCTCGTCCCAGCGAGCTCGTATGGGCCAAGCGAGCCTGGAGCTTGTGTTTGGCCCGAGGTGGGTTCGGGATAGGCTGTCTCCATCCCGACTGTCCCAGTGGAGCACTCAGGGGAAGCCAAATGGGTGGATTTCCCCTGGATTTGAAGTGCCGTAACATTGGCCACGTCCCCAGAGGTCTGCAGCACTGCTCAGCCCACGCAGAGCCGTAGATTAAGGCCAGCTCTGGCCTTTAATACAGCAAGCTGCGTAGTGCTGGGTGGTCAAATAAGGGGTGTGTATGTCCTGCGAGAAAGTGGGGAGAGGAGAGCAAAACCAGCCCCCCAAAACCTCCAGGCTTTAAACCCAATTTCCTAAGGAAACATAGCCTATGTGAGCATGCGGCGGGGTCTCTCCGACCTGCTCCTCTGTTGCTTTTGAGTTTGTTGGTTTGGCTCTGCTGAAGGAGAGGGAGGGAAGGTCCCAAGACCCCCCCAGACCCCCCTGGGGTCCTCCAGCTTCTGTGGAAACAGCCGGCGGTGGGTCGCAGTGGGCGGTGGCGCTCAGAGCTGTGGTGCTCTGCCATCACTACGAGACCCCAGAGAATCCACACCGCCGCAGGGGGCTGCTCCCAGAGGGAAGAGCAGGACAGCGCCGGGCTGTTGGTGCCGTGGGTTGTGCTGGCCTGACGCACAAATGGCCTCTGCTGTTTTATTGGTGATGCTGTAAATATGTGGGTGCTCTTTCAGGGGGGTGATGGGGCCCTGTCACCCCCCCTTGCCTCCCATGGAGTTGTTGTGTTGTGTCTTCTGCCCCCGCACTGGGGCTGCGCTGCCCTGGGTGCATGGGCTGGGGCTTTCTGTTCTGCTGGGGGGTAAATCAGCAATATTTACCCCGCTGGTAAAAGCGGGCTGCTGGAAGGGAGGAGGCCAGGCCAAAGGGCAGCCATAAAACTTCATGGGGCTTTCCGTGTGTGCAGAGTTGGGGCTGCTTTCCACGGCTGTGTTTGCTCCGCAGCGAGCGTGCCCAGGGCTGGGGAATTGCCCTGAACACGTCGCATCATGACCCAGCTTGGAGGAGAGCGAAATCAGGGTGCTGTCCTCCATTGCCCCCCCCTTATCCTGCATCGGGAGGCTGCAGCCAGACCCTTTCCTCCCTCTCCCCCCGCACCAGACCCCCCTGCCTCCCTGAGCAGCTGCGTCTCGGTGCCTGTCCCCAAATGGCCTCGTCACCCCGCTTGTCCTCCTCTGCTCTCAACCCAGGGTCACATCCAGCTGGTCCTCCAGTGCCCGCAGCCCCAGTCCATGGGGGATCAGGATGCGGAGAGGGGCTGCAGGGCTGCTCCGGCACCATCCCAGGGGGATGCTCCACACCACCCAGCCCTTGCGAGCCCACCCCCGGCAGGCTGACACC